CCACCGCCGCCTCGCGTGCCCGGCCAGGCCGTTTGATTTTTTAAATCCTGTTTGTGTGTGAGCAGAGCTCTCAGCGGCGATGTGCTGGTTCCCTTTCCTGACGGGGTTGGGGCGATTGATTTTTCTTTCTCAAGTCTGTGTTGCTTTGGTTTTTTCCATGTTGAATTGTATCTGCTCTGGGGTAACCTAGTTGCCTCGCTCGTTTAAGTCCCTCAGAAAGGCTTCCTAGTATTTTTGGGGGGGGCAGGGGGAGGGACTAATGTAAATGACCATGTGATCTGCAAATTTTACTCCTTCACTACACCCCCTTTCCCAGATTAATATTATTAAACGCCTCCAGAATTAACGTAGAACCTTGAAGCATCTTGTTATTTACTCTAAGGAAAGCTGGCCATTTATTCCTACACCTTGTTTCCTGTCTCTTCACTGGCTTTTCACACATTACAATACTTTGTCTCACACCTATAAATTACTTAGGCTCTTTAGCAGCCTTTTTTAAAGGATCTTCTCAAAGTCCCTTTAAAAATCTAAATACATTATTTGATTCTCTGCTTCCATTGGACTGATAGACACCATTTCATGCACAAAAATCACACAGACAGATGCAAATGTCAATCATTCTCTCCTATCTACTTCTCCTTGAATATGGCCATCTCAGCAGGATGCCTACTTTCTACCTTTGTTTTCTTTGTGCTTTGCTTGGGAGTTTTTTCTCTTTCACCTGAGCCCTTCCTGGCAGCTATTTAAAAAATAAAAAAAAACCCCACACATCCTGTACTTATTGGAAAATTCTCTTTAGCTTGTCTCTCTCTAGAGTTTTTGGTTGCTGGAAAGGGAAAGGTCTTCTCTGCTTTACCATTCGATAATCCTTCTTGAGTTCTGCTCATAAATTCCTCCACTGTCTGCTTCTCCAGCCAATCCAGTAGCTTTTCCAAGAGGTAGCATGACATTAATAGGATTCTTAACTGTTTCCTGCTGCCCAGTTGTGCCAACAACAGTGAAATTGAACAGTCTTGTTAATTTCACTCTGCTGTTTCTTGGCAAACTTGGAAGCAACAGTAGAAACATTAGTGTTGTCCAATTGTTTACTCAAGAAGGTTCATATTTGGAAGGTTATCTATCTATGAACTAAAAAATCGCTTAATACTTATACATTAGAAATGGATGGCTCATGTCCTGACACTGGACACTGGATGCTGGGTGTGTTTGTAGTTGAAAACAGTATGCTAATGATTAACATTTTACAGTTCTACTGACTTTCATCCCTGGTGCTTGTGTGTCGTACCAAAGAATACTATATAAGATCAGAAAAAATGTTTTACAGATATCCACAGAACCGTACAGGTTCAAACTCTCTAGTCTGGGACCTGACTGGTACTGAGCCATAGAAGGTCAATATTGTTTAGCAGCATTGCCAACACTGCCACTGCTTGCCGGGCTATTAGAAGACATTGAGGGGTAAATTAGAGCTAAATAACAGCGCAGAACCCCGAGAGCCAGGACTGGTGGCTGTAAACAAACTTTATGGGGCTGTGGGAAACTTGGCCACACCCATGATAAGTGCACATCCAGCTAATTAAAATCATGCCAGACCATGGATGTTGCTAGACAAAAGGGCGCTAGATTAGAGAGGTTCAGCCTGTACTAGAATACAACAGTTGCTGAAGTGGCAGCCAGGAATACACCATCAGTTGAACTGGTTGGGAACTGGAAAGCCAAAATTACTCATGAGAATTCAGAAGAAAAAACGTCTATATTTTGTAATAGATGTAACATACTATACACTATATACTATACTTTTAAAATTAATGTATTTTAAATGTCGAAATAAAAATAATCAAAATAGCGTTATTGAAACTAAATATTTCAACTTTATCACACTAAAAACCTTTGTCAATCAGCGTGTTCTCACAAAACATTTTGACTTTGAAAAGCTGCCTTTTTGATGAACTTGTTCAGTTGAGAATGTTTTGACCAGCTCTGACCAAAGTATGAGACAGCATAGAGGATAACTAAGATCCTGGCATGACTCTGGAATATGCCTTTATTTTTATGAGAAGTGGCATGAAATTCTTACGAACATTTTAAAGCAAAAGGGATTTGGTATTTTAAATATTATTCAAATGATAATATGATCGTCAACTCAGTTCTAGTTGCTGTGAAAGCTAAGGAAATGCAATTTGAATATAAGGCAAAAAATAAATGTTCAGGATAAACCAAAAAATCACCCAGTGAATTTTTTTCAGAATAATAATTTTATGATTTATCCCAGGGTTTCCCAACCTATGGGTCATGATCCAAATATGGGTTGCCATTACATTTCAAAAGGGTCGCCAAGTGTCTCCTCATGTGGCTCTGCTCGCCTTCCTCGCCCCGTTTTTTAATTGCCTTGCATCACCAAGTTTTCCTGAATTGTCAAAATGGATCCCCATCTGGAAAAAGTTGGGAACCACTGCTCTACATTAAAAGGTCATTATTAAGATCACAAAGTCAAGCACTCAAACATTAGGAAATGTCATTGTATGCAACCTTAATTCAGTCCCTTGTGAATATGTTTTATGATAGATATAATTACTCCATGACACAGATTTTTATGTGCTTCAGCTTTTCAGGAGAATAGTTTACTTTATTTTTAATTAAACATGGGCAAAAATCACTTATTTTACCGTAATCTCATTCATGAAAACAGCTGAACGATTTCGGCCTAAACTTTTCCAACAATAATTTAGCCTCGGGCCAACACCAGTATGGAAATTTCAGTATGAACAAACTAAATTTCACAATGTCATAAGCAACTGAAAACAGGATGTTATCATGGAAAGTGCCAAGCAACTGTAAATACAGGTTGGACCTCCTTGGTCCGGCACCCTCAGGGAAGTTTCAGTCCAGAGGAGGTTTGGGAAAGGGTGACAGCCTCCCCACTGGGCTCCTCTCCCCAGCCTCCTAGCTTCGCAAGTTGTGGCAGCCCCACAAGAGCTCCTGGTGGCTGCACCGGGTACAGGCTCCACTGCTCTGTGAGCGCCAACCCCCACCACCACCACTGTCTTCCTTTCCTCCCAGCTGTAGCTCCGCTGCCCCACTATCCCCACTGGCCAGCCCTACTCCGAGCCACCAACAACTTTTGCCGCTGGGGCTTCCTAGTACTGCAACATCCGTGGTCCTGCCAGACCATGGATGTTGCCAGACGAGAGAGTCCTGGACCACAGAGGTTCAACATGTATTTACATTGCCACCTGCACTGCCTATAATCAGTGGAATCCATCTGTAGGATGGAACAAAGCCCTGTACCCATTCTCTGTTATTTTTATTGAGTGTTCTATAAGACATTCAACGCTAAACTATAAAAGTTTGTTGAAACTATTTTGCTATCTCAGGGAAGAGTGGATAGCTTTTCAAGGAGTGATTCCTTTTGTTCTTGCCCAATCTGACCATATCAGCATCAGTAAAAAAAAATTATTTAAAATAATCCAAAAACTGAATGATACTAACATTCTGGAAATAACACCTTTTTTATACACAGCTGCCTGCAGGATTGTGAACTCCGTTTAGTGTTCTCCCTGGGCATGGCTGGAGAACTGCAGAAATGCCTTTCTGCCAAGCAATGGATCACTGGCCTAACTATTGACAACACCAAAGAAATCAGTATTAAGATGCCTTAAATCAGAAAGCACCAAGAATCAAACTGACATTTTTTACATTTACTTACAAATACTTTGCATGCCCTGTATTTCATTTGACAGTAGTCCTCCCACTCCAGCCATCCGTCCAGGCTGTTATAACAATATGCATGAGTCTCCCACTGCCAGAGGAAATCCCATCTTCTTCCCTATTCACCTACCTAGCTCTCTGACTAGAGGCGGTGAATTGGTTACATTTGCCAGAAGAAAAGAGAGGTCTGATGGCCTGCTCCTTTCATGGGAGTGTTCCTCCTGCAGCCGTAACATTCCACTACAACTCATAAGATGACTTTCCTTAGGAAGAAGGCAAAGGTGCAAAAGGACCTTTGAGCCTGAAAGTGAGCTTTTATGGCTGCAATGAGATTAAAAGGTTGGAATGAAATGTACATGAAAGGCGGTGTTTCCTTCCCCACAGACTCAATCCTTCACACGCTCCTGCACACAGCTCTCAAAGAGGATCACTATATGTGAAAAGAAGTGAGGCTCTGGGGCTCTGTTGCAATTACCAACTGTCCATTTTCCTAAAAACAGTATGGTTTTGAAAAAATAATTGAAGGATGTTTGTTCTATTTTGATAAATTAAGAAGTTGTGTCACTGAGGAAGCGACGAGGAGCCCAATCAATAGGAGTCCCATAATCCCTTCCAACCATCACTACCTTGAAATGAAAACACAACAGGATTAAAACTCATCAATTAAGGCTTTAACAGAAACTGTGGCTTTGGAGTTGTTGATGTGAAAGTGCCTCTAGCACAGGGGCTCCCAATCTTTTCCAGATGAGGCCCCATTTTGGCAATTCAGGAAGACTTGATGACCCAGGACAATTCAAAAATGGTGAGAGGAGGGAGGGCAGAGCCACCTAGGGAGACACTTAGCGACCTTTTTGAAATGTAATGGCGACCCACATTTGGGTCCCAATGCATAGGTTGGGAAACCCAGATGAGCTTTCGAATGCAGTTCTGTGTAAAGGTAGATTGGTAAACTCTCTATCGTGTGTCTTTTGTAAAAAGTTTTTTCTTCTTTCTCTAAGAGGCGAATCAAACATGGCAGCCATGTTCCTGTATGGACTTTCCACTCCTATGGTACATGCACAAAACCAAGTGTGTGCACATTTTATTTGCAGAACTCTATATTTATGCATATACATTTATATACTATATACTGTATATTTATATGCTATATATAATGTAAAAACACACCCTCTCTCTCTCTCTGTCACACACATTTTGTGTGCTGAAGATAGGATACAGGGCTAGCTGGACTAAAGGTGTTTTGAGTAGAGTTGTCAAAGCAATCTTAATTTGTTGTTTTTTTTTTCTTTCAGTGTTGTCTGCCAAAGCTTAGCAAATAGCAGCTATGGAGTAAAAAGAAAATTACCACTGCAAAAAGTGCACCTTGTTTCCCGAAGTATTCATCATCCCCATTATCCAAGTTCAAAGTTTCCATTAAGAATATCAGTTCATCGTTTCTCCTCTCTTAATCATCCTCCCTTTTGGAAAACCAAACTTTTATCTGTAAAATATGGCTACCCACCCCATAGGAATTTCTGGCTAGCTAGACTGGCTTCAAGACTTCTAAAACTTCGCTATCTTGTATTAGGATCAGCTGTTGGTGGCGGCTATACAGCAAAAAAGGTATTTATTTGACGAAGCCGTTTTCTATGTTTCATATTGCTTGATAGACATTTCAGAATAGTAGTTATAGATGCAATCACTGAAATGTAGAGTTCTGTCAGTTGATGACAGATGAGTCTGAGATTAGAGAGGGTCAAGTTATTTCAAATACTATAGTAGATTTTATTGGACAGAAATCAGTTGAGGTTTTGGTGACTGTTTTGTAGATGCTCTTTAACTGTGTCACAAAGCCAGTTTGTAATGGTAGGCCAGCACAATGCAGATTAATAGGTAAATTCTTTCAAGCGGAAGATTTATATGCTTCATTCTTTTTCTGTGTTTGTATTAGACATATGATCAATGGAAGGAGATGCTGCCTGATCTCAGTGACTATAAGTGGATTGTTCCTGACTTCATCTGGGAGCTTGATGAGCACATTGACTTTGGTATCACAAAAGCTAAAATGTGTTTTAATTGCTAAATACTAGTGCATGCAACACTGGGATTTAAGAGTACGGGTTCTTAGAAGTTGATGGCTTCTAGATAGATGTTCTTATAACGTGATAATAAGATATGCACTAAGAGGTGAGTCTTAGAAAGACTTGTGCTTCACATATGCATTCTAAGAGGAAAATACATGAATATGTGGAGGTGATTAATCATCTATTCTTGCTATAGAATTATTGCTTAAGAAGAGATTTTAAAAAATCTAAATATTCCATATCTATAATTTAATCATATATGCTCTCAACCTGAAATTCCATTGGGGATGGTGAGAGAGGGTTGGTTTTGGTTTTGGTTAGAAAACAATTAAAAGTAGCAGAAGGTGCTACAGTTGGCTCTGGAAACTCCAGCAGGTTTTTTGGTATTGTATTCCAAAAATGTCTGTTTTTGTGAGTATTTATCTTTCTGGTTGTTGTGTGAAAGACTCATACAAATCATAGGGCCACCTGACTGAATATGCAAAAGGAACCATGAAACATCCTGTCTATAAGTGCTGCTGAATACACCAAATAAACTGAAACATACGAAAATATTATCTTTGAAATGTTTGTTTGTAGTAATTATATTATACAGATGCTCTTTCTCACTGTCTCATATATACAGAAATATAAACAAACTTTAAGAGAAACATTTTGGTTCCTGATAAAGAAAAATGGATTGAGCATGTGAATGTGTTTTAATTTTTAGATGTTTATTAGATTTTTACAGTGTAAAATATTGTCGCTTATACAAAATGTTTATACTTTTTCCCTAGAAAAACTTAGTAAGGCTCTTCCTGATGCAGAAGACCTTGCCAAACTTCTGCCTGACTTTGACAAGATTGGAGAGAGCTTCAGTTCACTGAAGGGCTTTTTCTCACCTGGTGAGAACAATTTTTCAACTTTGTTTAACTTATGAGAATGTTTATTCTTATCATATGAGATCACAAATATGTCTTTAAACAACAAAAGAAAAAGGTTTATGGAAATTGTGCACCAATAAATTGTGGTAACAAATATTTGGTGAGACCTGAGAGATGTGAAACTGAACAGGGAACTGTAGAATCCCAATCAAACTAAAAACAGATACATTTAGAATGTAAATGTTTCAATGAGGTGCTTGAGCTAAGTTGCCAATGATGGCACAAGGAGAAGTCTAGTTAGCACTCTTCAACACTTTGCTCATGATAGGAGGAAAGAATGCTTTTATTAAAGAAATATGCTTCAGGCACTGGGTGGTAGATTAAAAAAAAAAATTACCACCCTACCAAAATATCTCCATTTGCCTTAGGTGTAGCAGTAAGTAGACTGCAGAAGATTTGTGACTGACTTAGTAATCTCTCAGGGGCTGTCCTGGCTGTTTTCTACTTGAGTAAAAGTGTAAGGACTACAAGACAGGCTGACTGAAAGCAAGGGCGATGAATGACTTCTAAAACTCAAATACTACATGGAAAATGGATGACCATTTTATGATTTTGCACACCCTATTAATTGTCCATCCTCTAGTGATTTTCATCTCTAATCTTTTTTTTTTCATTTTAACATGTTCTAAAAATCTGTTCTGGCATTGAAAATTAATAGATTTTAAATCCAGAAAGATTCATAGTAGTCATCAGGGGAGGTTCCTTCTAGCCGGTAGGGCCTGAGACTCTAGATGGACTTACTGCGTAGACATTTAGCCAGCCATTCCTGCAGTGGTGAGAATTCTCCTTCCCTTTTACACAGGTGTAACATTATCAGCCCCCTAAACTTGTGGCTGAAATGAAGATGATCTTTTAGAAACACATCTAATCTTGCCTAATACCAGCATTTTGTAAATGTAGATGGAGCTAGAAAGACGTAGATGTACGTATAAACGTCTTAGTCACACTTTTTTTCATTTGTGTGAAAATGTTGTAACTGTTGGTGTTCTATTTGCATGTTGTACTTGCATTGTCTGAAACAAAATTGTTTCATGCAAGGAATGTGTATTTAATATTATTAGAAAGCATAATATGTCTAAAAACAAATGTGCAGAGAGCAGAATCTAAATGGGATTCGAGTGTGAGGGTGATGAGAAGGTCAATATCAGAACCCAGAGATAAGTAGATGAGACCTCCTATGCGTTTAAGGTATTCTTAATTGGAATGTAATCTGGACTTTGGTGTGAATTACTTGTTATCCTTTTTGCTGCGTTTTTTAGCTTACCAAGATTGGCATATTTGCTCTTATGACTGCTTGGTCCCTCAACTCTAAGACTGAAATCCCTCACATCTTTGCTTTGCCATTTGTTTGTATTTATAATTTTTATTTCCCCTTTTTTGCTGGTTTTTCACAGGTTACAATTTGGTTAGTGAAGTCATAGGAGCTTCTGATCTGCTTCTCTTGTTAGGTGTGTAAAAAGCCCTTTTTACTGCCCTTAACATGCCTCTTTAAAATAAATTAAATACTTGTACACTAAAAAGGAAGTGAATAACAACAAAAATGCAGTTAATTGCAGCAATTCAATCTTGAATTGGAAACGTTTCATAACTATTTAAATTCAGTTCCTACAGTGGCAACAAACAGTTAATGGCTCACTGTCAGACCACTAAACAGATGCCTATAGCTAGACTTTTTTCAGAAGTGTGCTCAGAAACAACATTCTTTACAATATGTGGGAATATTTTGTGTTTCTTAACACAAATGATAAAATAACATATGTCCCGTCATCAGATGTCTAGCACACGCAGTCATTTCATCAGCAACATGTCTTCAGAACTTAAATGGTCTAATTGAAGTTTCCTATTACCTTTTATAATAGCCCATTCCGTTTGAGGTGGATACTAGACTGGTACACATAATAAATCAGTTTTAAGCTGTTTCTATGCTTATTAATAATAATCTGTAGAATTATTATAATTTCAAAAAGTTATTTGTATAGTAAATTCCTGGGTACTGAGTTGCACTAAAAAGTGGACCTCCTGTTAGACTTAGTTTTGGGTTTCGAACGGGGTATTAAGACATTTCAGTTAATTTTCTGTAATTATGTCTTAGGTTCCCAGGGAGAAACAGCATTCAGAGCTACAGACCAGGGATATGAAAATGACAAGCAGTACAAAAAGGTATGTTTACAGAAAATATTTAGTCATTCAATAATAAAGCTTTTTAAAAATTAAAATCTGTGTTTTTCTGTAACAGTTACATTTTTAAAAGGGCACTTCAATAATAAATCTAACTGCAGTTTAAAGAAGCTTGAGAGAATTGAAATGATTTAGTAATACTGTAATTTATAGCAGCTAGATTAACAGTTAACATGTCTTGTGCTGAAGGAGAGAGTAATGTAAAGTCATTAAATCTTCTTTCACAATGATATTCTCTAAAGACTTGAGTTGTAATGGACATGTTACTGAAGTCATTCTTTATTTATTTTGAATTTGTATGCAGCCTGACCATGCTAGCACTTACTGCTTGTGACTGTGACGGTGTTGTCGTCTCAGGCTGTTATATAAAATTCAGAGTGCTGCATCATACCCCAGCTTTAGTTGTATGTCCTAAAGCATTTCATCTGATAAACCTTTCCATTGAACTATTATGTACCAAGTTTTGGATTTAATTTTTTTTCTGCTTAAAACGTAGTGTTGCAATTGTTTTTATGGGCCTGCTTATTTTCTAGAAAAGGTTGGGGTGGGTTTGTTTGGTTGGTTGGTTTTGGTCCTGGAAGATGACTTTGCTTTGTGAAATGTCACATCAGCTGGTTAAAAAAGTTTATTAGCCTGCATCATTAATTTTTGCCTTGCCAGTGAGGAGAGAGAGAAGTAAAGTTTAGAATTGCATACTTGTAGATCATAGATTTTATTTTTATTATGGCATTTCATGATTAACAGCACTGTCTGATAAATTTCATTTTATAGTACAGATTGAATCTCTCTAGTCCAGGCACACTCTGGTCTGTTAACATCTGTGGTCCGGTATGTTTTTAGTTATCTGGATGTCCACTTATTATGGGTATGGCCAAATTTCCTGCCGTCCCGTGAAGTTTGTTTACAGCCACCAATTGTGGCGCTCCATATTCTGTGCTGTTTAGCTCTAATTTATCATTAAATGCCTTTTAAGAGCCCAGGAAACAGTGGAAGTGTTGGTAATATCATTGAGCATAAGCATAACTTTTGTAATATATCTGCTTATCTCCTTGTGCCAATACAGTAAAATTGTGTAACGCTAACACTTCATTATGAAGCAAGCTGATATGCCTTGGCTAGGCATAGGTATATAGGGTGTATCAGCATAATCATACATTATTAAGCATAATTCTGTTTATTCGCCTCAGCGAACTAGAGATCAAAAGAGACCCACTTGCTACAATATTGACCTCCCATGGTTCAGCAAATTCTCTGGTTCAGCTTCTGTCAAGTCCCGAGGGTGCCCGACTATAGAGGTTCAACCTGTAGTTTTCATTTTTGCCATTGTACATTTTGAAAAATTCTGCACAAATCAGAATGAAATCTAATACATTCACACAGGAGTCACACACAAGATATTACTATTACATTTGCATACTTACTATACATGCTTACGGTGAAAACAGTACAAGAAAGCACCTTTTATTGGTCAATCTCTTGTCTTAGGAGCACTGCAAAGTCTCTGCATTTTGAAATGTTCTGTTTTCCCTCTTATTACATAAGAGAGGCCATACTGTGTCAGACCAGCGGTCCATCTAGCCCAGTGTCCTGTCTGCCGACAGTGGCTAATACCAGATGCCGCAGAGGGAGGGAACACAACAGGTAATCCTCACGTGATCCCTCTCCTGTCACCCTTTTTCTAGACAAACAGAGGCTAGGGACACCATTCCTCCCCATCTTGGCTAGTAGCCATTGATGGACCCAACCTCCATGAATCTATCTAGCTTTTTTTTGAGCCCTGTTAAAGTACTGGCCTTCACAATATCCTCTGGCAAGGAGTTCCACAAGCTGACTGTGCACTGCTTGAAGAAAAACGTCCTTTTGTTGGTTTGTTTTAAACCTGCTACCTGTTAATTTCATTTGGTGACCCCTAGGTCTTCGGTTATGGGAACAAATAAATAACTTTTCCTTACTCGCTTTTTCTATACCAGTCATGATTTTATTAGACCTCTATCATATCCCTCCTTAGTCTCCTCTTTTCTAAACTGCAAAGTCCAAGTCTTTTTAATCTCTCTTCATATAGGACCCATTCCAAAGCCCTAATGGTTTTTGTTGCCCTTCTCTAAACCATTTCCAATGCCAATATATCTTTTTTTGAGATGAGGTGACCACGTCTGTACGCAGTATTCAAGATGTGAGTGTACCATGGTTTTGTATAGAGGCAATAAGATATATTCTGTCTTTATTTTCTATCCCTTTTAACATTATTCCTAGCATTGTATTTGCTTTTTTGACTGCTGCTGCACATTGAGTGGATATTTTCAGAGAACTATCCACAGTGACTCCAAGATCTCTCTTGCGTCGGCATAGCTAAATTAGTCCCCATCATATTGTATGTATAGCTGGGATTATTTTTTCCCATGTGCATTACTTTACATTTATCAGCATTAAATTTTATTTGCCATTTTGTTGCCCAATCACTTAGTTTTGTGAGATCTTTTTTTAAGCTCTTCACAGTCTGCTTTGGTCTTAACTATCTGTAGCATTTTAGTATCATCTGCAAATTTTGCCACCTCATAGTTTACCCCTTTGTCCAGATCACTTATAAATAGGTTGTATAGGAATGGCCCCAGTACGGACCCCTTGGGAAACACCACTAGTTACCTCTCTCTATTCTCACCATTTATTCCTGCCTTTTGTTTCCTGTCTTTTAACCAGTTATCAATCTGTGAAAGGACCTTCCTTCTTATCCCATGACAACTTACTTTACTTTGGTGAGGGACCTTGTCAAAGGCTTTCTGGAAATCTAAGTATACTATAGCTACTGGATCCCCCTTGCCAACATACTTGTTTAACCCCCTCAAAGAACTCTAGCTGATTAGTAAGACAGGATTTCTCTTTACAGAAACCATGTTGACTTTCCCCAAACAAATTAAATTCTTCCATGTGTCTGACAATTTTATTCTTTATTATAGTTTCAACTAATTTGCCCGGTACTGACATTAGACTTACCAGTATGTACTTGCCAGGATCACCGTTAGAGCCCTTCTTAAATATTGGCAGCACATTAGCTATCTTCCAGTCAGTAGGCATAGAAGCCCATTTAAAGGATCAGTTACAAACCACAGTTAAGTTCCACAGTTTCCCATTTGGGTTCTTTCAGAACTCTTCAGTGAATGCCACCTGGTCCCGGTGACTTGTTACGGTTCAGTTTATCAATTTGTTCCAAAACCTCCTGTAATGACCCCTTAGTGTGGGACAATTCCTCAGATTTGTCACCTAAAAAGAATGACTCCGGTTTGGGAATCTCCCTGACATCCTGAACCGTGAAGACTGAAGGAAAAAAATAATTTAGTTTCTCTGCAATGACTTTATCGTCTTTGAGTGTTCCTTATCTCGATCATCCAGGGGCCGATCTTTTTTTGAATAGATTTGTCTGCCTTGAAAGATTGCTTATGAAAGGCGTTTTCAGTTCAAAAGTTGAAGTGTTTTCCGCTTGGACTGTGAAGCGAAGTTCTTAACTGTTGTCGTACAACTCATTTATGAGGCTAAGCCAAATTACTTGCTTTTGTCTATATTTTGTTGAGTACCACACATGTAATGAATGCTCACTAAGCTTGATTTCCAAATGCAAAGATCAAGTCATAAAACAGAGGCAAGAAGTAGTTTTATAATAAATCAATTTTAAGAAGGTGTTTCATTCTTTCATAACTTTTAGTGGAAGCCCCACTTATCTTTGAATGACTAACTGCCCCCTAGTCAGACAAAATGCTATGGCCACTCATCTGAATTCCTAGTGAAAATTCATCCAAGGATCTTCTCTTCATATGAAGATTTTCTTCACCTATGTTTGTAACTGGCTACGCTGAATTCTGTATTACTGGGAATATGAAAACAGAGAAAGAGGAGTCTACAAATCTTTGATTGGAGATTGGCTTGTCTGTGGCATTCACTGTGGGAGTATTTGGATGGTAAGCAATATTACGGTCACAAGAAAGCATTTCTAGACTTGAATTTGCTGCTTATGGGCCTGCTACAATTGCCACAGAAGTCAATGGCTATCCTTTTATTTAGTGAAATGAAGGTTTTATGGAAGCCTTAGAATTAGAAATCAGGTGTCCAGTAATGGCTGTTACTGTACCACAGACCCTCTTTAGTGAGTTAGCAATAATTTGTTTATCTCATAATTGCCTCTGCCTGCTCTTTCCTTTCTTTATACCCTGTGGGCAGTGGAATAATTCTTATTCCATTTTCTTGTTCACCTTGTCCTATGCATCTTCGACCTCGTTTTGCATTCCGAGGACTAAATTGACTGGGACAAAGAGGAAACCCTCTCCTTTTTTTTTTTTCATGCCTTTGTAACCAAAGAGCTTTGTTATACACACAGCTCATGGCTGTATTGTGGAAAACAGGCCTCTGATTAAATCTGTGGGCCTCTTAAAGTTAATTCTGCCTTAACTATATTAATTCTATCCAGCAGCTCTGCTAATGGAATAACTTTCTTACTGTCAGGGAATGACTCCTCAAAACGAAGAGTTAAAGGTATCCTGGCTGTTCAGGACTTGATGTTGGTCTTAAGACTGTGATTGAAGCTTGACTTTCACTGATGGATTGGATAATGAGGCTAGCATAGCAACTTGGGTCATTGACAACCAAAATGTTTTGTTTTCTGCACAGTGGGTTAGATGACTTTTCTTCATACTGTACATTCCATTTCTGATCAGCATTGGGTTGTTCATTTCAAGCCAATATTAGGCTATGTTAAAGAGTAAGAAGTAGTATGCATACCTTAATACAGAAGTCCCTGACGTTGGTTACTTCCTTGGTTCTGCATTAACGTATTCTTGTTCTCATGACTCCATCTTTCCAGAGAGCACAGCTCTGAAGTTACTGTTGCTGATTTCTCTAAATTTGTTTTCAAAGGCTTACCATTTCAAATTATATAGGTCTGATATGTTGTCAGTCTTACGGTGATTTTGATTTTATTGTTGTATTAATTATTTTAAGAAGTACAGTGACTTCTGATTTACACTATGAAGTAGTTTGCTCTGGCAACTTTTGGTCAATCTTTTTCTGGTCAGAGATCTCAACTTAATGTATGGATTAGGGATGTGAGCCTGTAACGTTAATGTGCACGGTTACACGCAGCCTTCTCACCCAATGCTGCTACCTCTGTATCAGAAGCAGCTGTGCAGGGGGTGGGGGAAGGCAAGAGACAGTGCACACAGGGAACTGGATTTCAAACCAACTTGTGTGCGCACCGGCTCCTGGGGAGCAGCCTCCCTCCCCACTCCCTCTGCTGCTGCCTCTGCAAAGGCAGCAAGAGGGAACAGGTGACTCCGTGAGAGCCGTCTGCTGCCCCCTCCCCATGTAAATGTGTAACTGCTGAAAATGTCAGTGGTTACACAATGAAATTGCATAAATAAGCACATTTTAACATCCCTGATATAAGTCTTCTCTCATTAGGCTCTGTGGGTACAGTTTTCAAAAGCTCTTAGATGATATAAAGAAGCCAGAATCCCATTATCTATCATAGGCCCTGATCCTGCAAAAGATTGGTGTGTGTGCTTCACCATCACGAATAGCCCCATTGAGGAACTTGAAGAGGTATGAACACCTTGGGAATAGAGCTTATTTGTAATTCTGAAATGTTTGTAACTCAGAACAAAATGTTACACTGGTTCTCTCAAAAGTTTACAATTGAACAGTGAGATGACACAGCTTTGAAACGTTATAATGCAGAAGAAAAAGGCTGCTTTTAACTATCCTAATTCAAATGAAACAAGTCCAGAAACACTTTTCTTGCCTTTTTAACTTTCCCTGTATTTTTGTAACAGTATGCACTACAGGTTGGACCTCCCTGGCCTGGCACTCTCAGGACCTGACCAGTCCCAGATGAGGGATTTTGCTAGACCAGAAAAGGTCGTATCTGGCTCTCTCCTACCACACTCCCTCCCCTGGTGGCTGGACCAGTTACAGGCTCTGTTGCCCTGCTGGTCTCTGCCTCCCACTTGCCTGCCATGCTGGGCAGCCTAGCTCGCAGTGCACTACGCTCCTGCCTCACTGGCCAGCCTCACTGTGGCGTGCCAGGCTCCAGCCCCACCAGGCAGCCCTGCGGCAGGGGTGGTGTGCTGGGCAGCCTAGATGAGCAGCCCTGCTGGGGCATGCCTGGCTGCCCTGCTGCAGGGATCTAGGCTCCTGGCCCTACTGGCAGGGGCCCACAACCCTGCCAGTCCGCAGGGCTCCTAGGCACCAGCCCTCCATCTGGACTCTCTCTGCTCTGGCAGGACCATGGATGGTCCAGGACAAGAGTCCCAGTTTACAGAGGTTCAACCTGTACTGTCCTTTATTTGGATTTTTACTCTGCTGCTACTTGATTGCATACTTCCAGTTCCAAAAGAGGTGTGTGGTTGACTAGTCAGTTAAGTCAGGTGTACTGTACAGGGTTAAGTCAGCCTAAGTTATGTAATTCCAGCTATGTAAATAAAGTAGCTGGGGTCAACATAGCTTAGGTCAACTTACTGCAGTGTGTACACTCTGCTGGGTTGATGGGAGAAACTCTCCGGTTGACTTACCTATGCTTCTCGTACTGGAATCAATTGGAGAGCGATCTGCGGTCAATTTAGTGAGTCTCCACTAGACTCGCTAAATCAACCTCCTGTGGATCAGTTGCTGCAATGTTGATCTCCCTGTAGTGGAGACATTCCCTTAGTACCCCTAGTGTTCATAACTCTGAGTTTCTGCTGTACTCAGGGGAGTAAAGTTAAGCACATGTGTTAGGACTGCATCCTGCATAAACTTAAGTGTCTATAGGCCAAGGCTCCTATGCCATTAAAGTTCTTTTGAAAATTTGACCCTATATAACTAAAACCTGATAGAGTAAGTTGAGAAATACATCTGTTAATGTAAACTAATTACTTTTGTGTTATGAAAAGCAATCATTTGTAAAAGTTGTAACCTATACAGTAGTTTGTCATCATTTCATGTGATTGTGCATTCCTTCTGTGCGATTTGTACTTCATCAGCAAATGGATAAAACTATTGATCTTTATAACAGAAGTGGCATTTTAATAATTAATTCAGTGTCTTCTCATGCAAAATCCCATGAATAGCTTTATATAATCATTCATGGTGGTTTCACTGAGTAAAATTCTGTTATTTTTAATAGAATTTTACTTTTTAGTGGTGGTTAACTTTGTTAGGAGAAAACAATGGCAAGGTCAGTGGAAGGAGAGATGGTTCTTTGAGCATGTGTCTGTCAGTGTAGATGCCCCTCTAGGTGTGCATGCAACGTTAGTCTTGGATATCAGTGCCTGTCTGAGCCATGCAGGTGCTCTGGGACTTCACCATATTCCTGTGTGAGGACATAAAGGGTGGAAAGACGCAGATCCTCTCTCCATTCTCTCCTACTGCCCGTGGCCTTGAGCTGAAACCTAGCACTGTCCAGCCCACTTCTGTTCGTGCTTTCTGTAGCTTATTTACAAACACCTTCATTGAAAACCCATTCTTCTAGTCACATTCCACCCAACCATTGACCTTTGTTAAACTGTGCTTGGATCTAGCCAAAAGTTCGGATGCCAAGGTTGGGAGTGCAGTACTGCCATCGCTGCTTGACGGATGTTGCTGAAACTCCTAATTTTCCCCCATCTGGTGGTGGTTGCCAGTCAAATACAGTGAGGCCTACCCTGAGGTGCATTCAAAAGAGAACAGTTACTTATCCTGTAATAACGGTTTCTTTGAAATGTTTTCGTGTGCGTGGCTCTCACAGCTGCCTTCCCGCCTGGCCCACTTCTGGAGTTTTCAGCAGAGATAGGGTGTGGATTGTAGGCCACTGGGCCCTCGGGGGGGGGGGGTTGCAGCTCCTCCACCTTTTATACCCTCACAAGGGAGCACAAGGAGACTCAGGGTGTGTGCGCGTGTGTGGTTCCTAAGGACACCGCTGTTCCAAAGACCCCAAACTTGTGCTCAAGAAGAGCATGCACACCGACAGGGGGACTCTCACAGGCCACACCCTCTCGAAGAGCCTCTGTTCCTGTAGGGTAAGTAACCATTGTTTGCTTTTGTTGTCTATGCCAACATGGTTCTTGTGTGTGCCATTATGGCATTCAGAGAATTTTCTTTCAGATTCAATGCTGTCATTAAAGAAAAGAAAAAGCCAGAGGAAATGTATGTAATACTGCTATGGCTCTGACGATAAACCAAGGAAAAGCAGTTAAAGTACCCTTGTTCCTCACACTGCCACCATTTGTGCTCCGACACTGTATTAAAGACAATTACATACCCTCAGAAGCTTTTTTCTTAGTTCCCCAGGGAACATTAAGCCCAGAGAACATATTACTGCAAGTAATCATAAAGTCAACAAAAACTACGTTTGATAATGTGGAACAGTGTTACACGATATGCTGTGCCTGTTTAAATACTAAAGGCTTCAACAGCAGCTTACATTCCATAGGTCCATCCTTTTGTTTGTCCTGACCCTTACCGTAATTTTTAAAGGGACACTGTCAAGTCATTTTGAGAAATTCCTTTCTCATTAGCTATGACAGTGTTACTTAGCCGAATTCTAGAAACTGGCGTCATTTTTATTTGTTAGCTTTTTTGCTCATGGACAGTGAAACTTGATGGATTGGTTTAATTTCTGGTTCTCATGCATTAGCACGATGCTTTTGATTTTTTTCCAGCAGTGCAGAGATTTTAAAAACAAACACACACAAAACAAAACAACATCTTCCCTTTATGTTTATTGCAATATAAATATGAGAATCTTTCTCTTCCTACAAAGATTGATAAATCTTTAAAAAAAAAAAATCTTATTTGCACTGTATCCTGTTCGACAGTGTCTGTTCAATTTTTGTATCCATCCATATAGTGTATGCCTTTACTTATGTGTACATGCCTATGTACGTGGGTTTTTGGTGCTGTGAAAATATATATATAGTGTGTGTGTTTGATACATGAGCTCTGAAGAACTAAATTGTTTTTCTTTAAAAACAAGCCTCAAATGTCAGAAGTTTGATTTTTAACACTATATATTTTGAAATGGATAATCCTATTAAATGTTTTCATTAAATGAACATGTAGAGCAGAATATCGTTCAAAGACTTCTTAATGTTTTTTAAATATGTTAATATATTTAATATTAATCTCCAACTTTTAAAACTGGTTGTATGAGAAATTCAGTAAAAATTAATTTACACACTATTCTGAAAAAATATGAGTTTTTAAAGACACATTTATAGGATAATTGGACAAAAGCAATTTAGGCACTTTGTCCATGGAGAAACTAGAAAGTAAGTTGAAGTTATTAAGCATGTCATATTTTTGCAATGGGTAAGAGGAACTATGAAGTTTGTTTAGACATTGCCAAGCTGCTATAGAGAGGAAGAGAGCTCTCTCTCTCTCTCTCTCTCTCCCCCTAAATATTCTTTTTTAAGTCTTTCATTCCTTCAAGTTTGGAGGTGGTGCATCAGGGCAAATCCTCTTTTGATACACTATCCATGCAGCTGAGGTAGGTAAGAATAAAAAAAACCTTTGTTTATTCTTAATGAAGTTGAGTGTTTTAACTGTTACACATATGGCTCTGTGTACAACTTTGGAAGAGCATCCAAACTGGGGATGTAAGTGACTAGTTGACTAGTGACTCGACTAGTTGCTCCCCGCCCCCTTGCTGCCTCTGTCAGAGAGAGACAGCAAGGTGAGGGGGGGAGCAATAGCCAGTGCAGGGAGGAGCTGGCTTAGAAGCCAGTTCCCCCAGCACTGTCTCTGTAGAGGTGTCAGGGCAGTGCGCAGTAGGGAACTGGTGGCGCTTTTGTCTTTGAAATGTAGCAAAAGTGGGGCTCTTGCTGCATTTCAAAAGCAGAAGTGCTGCGGGGAGCATGGGGTGAGCGGGGGCCTCAAGCAGTCCCCCGCTGGCCTTGTGCTCCCTGCTTTTGAACTAAACAAGAGCCCCAGGGGCCTCTAGTACATTTCAGAAGCGAAGCACACGGGGAGCACCGGGCCAGCGGGGACTTGCTTGAGTCCTCACTGGCCCTGTGCTCCCGAGGCACTTCTGTCTTTGAAACGTGGCAAGAACTGGTGGAGCTGTTGCTACATTTCAAAGGCAGAGGCGCCCTTATCGACTAATCAAATAATCGGTGCAGATTCCATCGACTATTCGATTAGTTGATCTGAATTTAACAACCCTAATCCAAACGTCAGATTTTTTTTGTTAAACTTTCTTCTATGCCTTGTTTTTAAAAAATCAAAAGTGTTTTCAAATATCATGAAGTGAATAATTGAGGATGAGGTGCTGAAAATCTCCACAAATTCTCTCTAACCAAGGCTAATTTAAACCTTTTTTTAGGATTTGGACACTGTTTAAAAATCTATTTTAATTCTAAAATGGAGCCTGTTTGTTGTGCTACATGACTTATAGGCTGGCTAGTTGTTTCCAGTCCCAGCTGGATAGTAATTGCAATTAGGTTTCCGTTTTTTGTTTGAAGTGACCCATTCAGTCCTGTCTTTTTCATCTGTTTTTATGTAACACTCCTTGGTTTAACATTGTTTTCCTTCCACCCCCAATTTTTCCCTTCCTTCTCCTTGTTGTAAACTCATGGCAGGGCCTGCTTGGTGAGCTCATTCTATTACAACAGCAAATCCAGCAGCATGAAGAGGAAGCACGCAGAGCCGCTGGCCAATATAGCACGGGCTCCTCCCAGCAGAAGCGAAAGGTGATGGTTCAAAGGGCGCTATGTACTATATTCGCACTAACCAAGCACTTCAGCTGCCTTCACTCGGTGTGGAAGCAGCTCATTTTAATGTGATCACAGGCTGAAATGATTGTTACAAAAATCTTTTTGCAAGAGCACGTGGTGCTAAATTGGTCCTGCTTCCAGTTGCTCTAATTGGGGTGCCATTAAATGATTGGGGATATCCGGGGGGGGGGCAGTCTCACAAGTAATTTAGCTTCTGCTTCTGAAACCTTGGTTTACTTCTAAATTGACTTGTGTTTTAAGTTACTGTATTTCTAGAAATTGGATTTAGGGAAAACAAAGAATCCAAGTCAGTCTCAAGCTGAGCAAATGCTGATTTAGCTTTCCAATTCTGACATCAGATGCAGTTTTTTAAAAGGATACTTCAGACAGCCTAGTTCAGTTTATTCCCAGTGGAGTGATAATGCTGTGTAAAGCAACCTGTAACATTGTGTTAGGATGAAACTGTAGTAATTGAATTCCCCAATATAGTTGCAATGATAAAAATTCCCCATGACAAAATTAGTAGGCTTGTCAGTGGGCAAAGTTTCGTATTTGTAAATACAAACCTAATAAATATATCTCAGTAGCTGATTTTGTGTAGCTAGGCTGTTGGTCATCTCTCCATTGTTTTACTAGGCGCTGGAGTAATTTTTTAGCATTAGAATGCTACTGGCATACTACCTACTAGATTGAGATGATTTTAGTAGTCTAGATTTCTTCAGAGCTAATTTTTGTAGCTAGTGTAATTCTTTACTGCTTCTGTGACTTTGAAAACAAAGTTATCTCTAGTTTCCGTGTCCATAGAGCCTACAGTTCCTTCTGAATTTCCATAGTTCCATAGCTTTTGAACTAATCACTAGATACACGCCTTCAGCAGGCTGCCTCTGTGGTTGTATCTGAGAGAGATGGGAAAGACTTAAAGTTCCGTGCGTAACATTGTCTGAAGTTAAGTGTTTGATTTGCACCAAAGGGCTTGAAGAAGTTTAAAATCTACCGCCCTTTTTCAAGCTACTGTTGAATGTTAAGCAAACATTCCATTCCACGTTGCAGTTCAAGAACTGCCCTTCCTCCTCCTCTGTACAACTGTAGGACAGATGAGTAGTGAAGGGGCGAGAGGTATTCTCTCATCTAGGTAATGTAACATTGGATTTTAGAGACAATTGGCCAGTCCTGCCCTCAGTGAGGCACTTAATGATCTGTAATAAAGATGCTGGAAGAGTAATGCACTGGAGTCTGACTACTCTGAGCCGAATTTGTCCCATGGTAGGCTACATAGTCCTTCCTACTTCCCGTCCAGAGCAGTGTTGCTGGCAAAAGACCAGAGATACCTTCAGCATACTAAACCGGCTTGTTAGTTTACGGATTCCTTTGCGTATTAAGAGTGACTCCTTCAGTCTTTTGTCAGGTTGCACGCAGTGTCTGTATTTAAGACAGAGCTGGGTAGGATTTTTGTCTCGAGTGCAATGCATTAAATTGACTTGTGCTGAAGGGGACTACATTCTAGAACTTTTCCAAGTGTAATTCCCACTTTTTAAAAAGGCTATTAAGAAGAGTTCCTATTTGTGTAGTGTTGGATCTATGAAACCTTACGGCTGCTGGAAAGGGAATGCAGTAATTGATATTTAAAAGCTCCATCTTCTAAGGACCTAGCACAGAGAGGATGAATCTATTCTTACAGACAATTCACCATCATTAGCGTTTTCTTGCTACTAATCCCATGGCCTCGGAATTGCAGGAAAAAAAGTATGTCTCTAGCAGTAAATGATTTACAGTCCCATAAGGGAAAGTCTTAAATTTGTGTCCAAGATGCTTGAGCATCACATGCCTTGTAGAAATATCAAAGCTATTTGGCAAACACATTTCGATGTGTCTCAGTAAGAGGCAGGCTACTTGCAGGGCTATCACCTGGATGTGTGTACTTTGATGCATGCCAGTGGCAAGGAATGGTGATGCATTTTATTTTGCTGCAACTAACCCATTTGTTGTGAAAAATTGAATGGCTGAGTAAACAGAGCTCTTGTAGTACACACCTTAAAATGATAAAATTTAAAGATTCCAGTCATAGGGCCAAACTGTGTCTTGGTAGAAACAGGTGCGATTCCCACTGAAATCTGCCAAGTTGCTCCCACTTATACCAGGCTCAACTTGGTCTGCTTTTATTTTGCAAGATTATCTGTTTCCTATCGACTTAAAAATATGATTTTGTTTCATTTCCATTCCTCTAAGCTTGAATATTCCTGTTACTTTAATATTTCATTGGCATTGTCAGAATGCAGAATAAACAAATCAAGCAGCAGAAGGACTTACCAGTGCCATGGTCTACAAATCCTCCTAACAATGATATAAAATAATTTTTGATGGGGGGTCCACTCCAAGATTTTAGAAAGTGATTGAGGGCCCCATTCTTCCATGATACTGATGGAGAAGGTACAGCATCTGGGATGGAAGTTGGGTGTAGAAGGGAGCTTAGGGTAAGGGATTGGGGTGCACAAGGGTGGTGTGGTGTCTGAGAGCTTGGGTGAAGGAAGTAGTTGTGACCTGGGGCACTGGTTTGGGATGCGGGGGTATGGGTTGGGACCTAGGACAGGAGGGGGTTGTGACCTGGGACAGGGGATTGGAGTGCAGTAGGGGGTGCAGGGATTTGAGTTGTGACCTTGGGCAGGGGATTGAGGTGCAGGGTCTGGGAGATATGGGCTCAGGAGGGAGACAGAGGGTTTGGCTTGTGTTGAGTGGGGGGGAGGAGTGAGGGGGCAGAGGGTTGAGGGGAGAGTGAGCCTGGGGTGCCAGAGGAAGGCTCTGTCTGGGAGACTTACCTGGGTGACTCCTGGCAGCAGCCCTGTAGGGTTATTGGACCGCTTCCCTGCTGTCCCGCCCTCTCATAGGCTGCAGGGACCATGTGCGATGGAGACTATGCCTGAGGGTAGTGGGGAGGGTGCACTGCTCGCTGCCTGTTCTTCAGATGGGCAGCTCTCATTGCCCAGAAATCATCCAATGGGATTGTGCTGGGGGCAGGAGCTGCCAGTAAAGCACCACTCCTCCCTCTAGGGCTTACAGCTGAAAGAGAAAAGCCTGCCACAGCTGCTTTTCTGAGCCGTGCAAGTGGGGCACAGGACGAGCAGGGAGTCTGCCTGATGTCCCCCGCTGTGTCCACAGGCTGGATCTGGTGGCTTGGCAGGCCTGATCCGGCCCCTGGGCTATATTTTGCACAGCCCTGATCTTCAGTCTAGACTCTTTATATAATATAGATTGTCTATTTTAGATGCAAATTTATAACTCCATCTCTCATTTTTAATCCCTTCATATACTTGTAATTCTTTCCTTGTAGACTATTATTACCCACTTAACAAATACTGTATTTACCTGAGGGGGTGTGTTGTATCGCAAGAACCCATGGCTGCATCTCTCTGTGCACTGACGTTTTCAGTGATGCCAGTGAGAATTGTTCTAGCTCTGAATGTATGAGTGTGAGATGTCCATGGTTTGTCATTGTTCTGTGATCGCATGTCAGTGACTCAGACACAGATTTTTACAGGCACTTATTTGCCTAAAGATGCAGATAAGTGCCTTCTGAGGCTTTTCAGACATACCGCTTAGATCCCTATCTGGCCCTGTGGGATGGTAGTCGTGGTGTTGTCTATGGCTTTTTGGATGAAATGGAACATCAAACATTTCTATCCATGCAACAATTGAAATCTGTTCTAAAACGAGTCGTAAATAGCCATGTATGTTTGGTAAAAAAGTCGACAGTTTCTTTTGTCATGTCAATTATCATCAGGCATGGGTGGCCATTTATTACTCTGTAGCTTGCTGCCCAGTACTGCATCAATGAGCAGAGTTGAAATGCTTGGGAGTATTGTTGTGAATGAAATGTTCAAAGTGACCGTGGTGACACAGACCTTCCAGACCAGTGGAACACTTGAGCAGGTCCATTGAAATCAGTGACGCTCCGGTTCAGTGGGAAGTCAGTGGAGCTGCATATTTCACTGTGCTCCTCTGCGGGTGCCCCTGAGGCCTGGCCAGTACCACAGTGAGGTGGATGTAAGCTGACCTGATTGTGTCAGTGTGTGTGCTACAGCCTGGTCTCACCAATGATGGGGTACGTCTAGACTACAGGCTTTTGTTGACAGAAGTTTTGTCGACAGATACTGTCGACAAAGCTTCTGTCAACAAAGAGCGTCTAGACTACATTCAGTTCTGTCGACAAAGCAAGCTGCTTTGTCGACATGGCAGTGTAGACGCAAAGGACAGTTTAGATGCAATAACGCCTTCTGTTGACAGAACTCTGTCGACAAAAGGCGTTATTCCTCGTAAAATTATGTTTACTAGCATCGACAAAACTGCTGAGTTCTGTCGACATTATATCGACAGAACTCAGCGGTAGTGTAGACGCAGGTTTAGTTTTGTCGACAAAAGTCCACTTTTGTTGACACAACCCTGTAGTCTAGACACACCCTAGGTGTCCAACTACGCTGACATGACTCCGCCTCCACGAGAGGTGTAGAGCTCCAGTTGGTGTAGTTAGGCGACGCAACGTCTGGGTGGACACTGTTACTTCCATCAGCTATGGCTGTCTTGTTGACAAGAAAGCCAGGCAACTAGAAACTGGCTTCCCACTCCCAGCTGGGCTGCTGCCTGCAAGCTCCCTGCTCTGGAAGCCGAGAAGCCTATGTAAACCCCCATGGTCCCTGAGGCAAGAAGCCTAGGGGTCAAGCTGAGAGCCTTGGCTCTTGCTCTCCCCGGCCCCATTCAGTCAGTGGAAGCCTGCCTGGTGGGGACTCTCGCCACCAACAGAAGGAGGGTAGCGTGGACATCAGCCCCCTGCAGTAATTATTGCAGTGGCTATAAGTTGACCTAACATAGGTCGATTTAGGTGTGTAGTGTAGACATGCCCTTAGTTCTGACGTAGTTCACTTGTCTGTACGTTACTGCTAGAAGGGTCACACTGCTGGGTATTTTCCTGCTCTGTTTTGTGGCACATTATTAGAGGGCTGCTTTCTAGGAACTAGATTAAGGCTACCACAATCCCTGCTCTTCTGAGAAGAGAAGTTAGCGCATTATCTACCCACCTTCTCCTGAAGGGTACAGTGCCGTTAGTGGAGAAAAGAGTCATGCCCCACTTTGAGGGCTGCGTTAGAGCATTCTTTGAGAGCGTTGTAATATTTCCTTGTATTCTTTAAACGTTTTCAGTAATCATTTTGGGGGAGAGGATGTGGAATGTTTGTCTAGATTTCTCAATCCCCCAGGAAATGCTTATGAGAAGAGGGACATAGCTGTTCTTTGGATGTTTGCATAGCCCAGAAACATTGTCTGTATTCCCTTTTTTGTGTCTGTCCTCTTTTCTTCGCTTCTTATCCCTGTCTGCCCTGTCGTATCTCTGGGGTGCTTTCTGTTTGGGTGGGTGGTGCTCACACTAGGGATGTAAAATCCCCATTAATCAATGAACTGGTTAAATATTGGGTTAACTTAACGTTTAACTGGTTAAACGACTATAGTGGGATCCAAGCTGGGAACGGCTACGAGCCAGCTGGAACAGCCCCCTCCCCATGGGGCTCCCACCTCCAGCCCTGCACTGGTGCTGGCTCTAGCTCTGCCAGCTTGCAGCCCACACTAGAGTAGCCCTTGTCCTCTGTGGGGCTGGAGCAGCCTCCTGTCTGCGATGGGCAGGGAGCTGCTCCAGCCCCCACTGGTTACTAGTTAACGGGAGCCAGTAAGCGTTATCTGTTTAGGGTGGTGCTTACCAGTTAACCTTTCACATCCTAGTGCTCACCTCTATATACATACTTTAAATGGAAAGTGTGTGGGGTGTGTGTGGGGGGGAGGGGGCCTAAAGGCATCAGGCCACCATCCCTGTGGCAGAACTCTTCTTCGTTCTCTTGCATTGGGATGCTAAGAGAACATGTTCCCCTTGCTGCTGGTCCATGGTAGAAACAGAAGGTGGCCCACTTCCAACACGTCATCTTCACTGCTTCAAGGATCAGCTCATGAATAAGAAAACAATGGGATGGAGGGAGAATTGTAATTTGTCATTGCCTTTTGCAAATTAAATGCATACTCATGTGACGCTTGTAGGTTAAGTAACTCCCACAAACCAAGTGCCACGAAGAACTGGGAATTGTTAATTGGCCAACAGTTACTATGAATTGGCGTGACTGCGTTGGTTTATGTCCTGTAAACATCTCATCCATGCATTGAGTTGATTCACTCCCTTGACTTTAATCTAATTTGCTTGAATTGTTAGTGACTTCATTTAAAGTTGAGTTGAATTTCTTTATATTGCTATAATTATTTCATTAACTTTTCATGAATCATTTCTTCTTGATTGTCCTTTAGGCTCTACATTATTTTTAAAAGACTTGCATAAAAGCCTATTTCAGTATTGCATACTGAGCTTGTGACTTTGTATGTTTTTGAAGAAACAGATGTAAAAGTTGTTTTGAACATCTGATTTTCCTATCTTTTTTTAAGAGCTACTTTATTTTACAGTTTCATTTTTGAAAGGATTTAACTAAAAATCCCTTCATGTTTTCACAGCTATAGTAGGATCAGACTTCAGGTCATTGTCTACTGATAAATTTTACATTCTGATCACTCTTCGGCGTTGTTTCCTACTTTTTACTATTGTCTGTGTGACTATGTATGGTAATGTAAAGCATCCCATCAAGATTCCATACTGAAAAATGAAAATAATAGAACAGTAAAATATACTTAATACTATTTGCAGAATACATTGTTCCTGTTACATTTGGCTACATAAATAAATTCATGTGGTGCTCAGTTGTGTGCAAGACACAAATAAGAATGTGATGCCTAACCTCTGGCGTTCATGCATTTTAAATATAAACACCAAACAAAAAGCCACTGTGCAATCTAGAGGATGCTGATAGTTTAGAAAGATTTTGTGTTTTGGCATACCTAGTGGAAAATCGTGTTGGAACCAAATTGATACAAGTTAGTGTTTGCACCTTTAGAATCCCTTAAAAAAATAAAGTAAGGCCCAGACAGTTTGGCTACCTGACTTTATTAATCCGTTGGTGGAGGGGAGATTCTCTGAGGAAGCTACTGAATTTTGTTTATCATTAAGCCCAATTTCTCAGTATTTGGTCCTGAAGGCGATAATTTTTATATTGGCTTGAACAAAGATTTAGACTTCGTTTGATAGGATTTTCCTGCTCTGGACGGAACTTTTAGCCACCTTCCATCCCAAATGATTTGATTTAAGAACTTGATTTGACTCAAAAGGCATGCTAAATCAGTTATTTTATGTTCAGTAAAGCTTCTGGTTTGGGATTCAGTTGCATCCTGAGGATAAACTAAACATTTGTGCTGTTTAACCAAGCAGTGGCTATGATTATGTTTCTTAACATTATAGGTCTCTGACAAGGAGAAGATTGATCAGCTTCAAGAAGAACTTCTGCACACTCAGGTATGTAGTCTAGTAAAAAGGGCCTAAAATCAGAGCACCGTGTGTGCAAAACTGAAATCACTGAACAAAATGGACTGAAAATGTAAGACATCTTGCAGAAATTGAAGGAATTTTTTAAAAAATTATGGCTGGAGAAGAAGCCTTTAATTCCTTCCTTAATTGGGCAGCGGTTTTTATTTACCGTTTTTGATATTTTGATGTGTTGATATTTTTAATGATTGCTTCCTTAGCATGCTTTTGCTATACATGGGAAATGGGATTATATATGGTAAAATGACATTTGAATCTCTTAATCTATTAAATGGCATTTCTAGGAGAGACAAAAAGCTCTTAAAGTGAATTAGATGATCAAGCTCGGGGGTCTGAGGCTTTGTCTAGATGGCAAGTTTTTGCAGCAGAAAATATGCTAATGAGACTAATTTGCATAAATCGTGATGTCATTAGCATATTTTCTGCCATTTCTTTTTGCGCAAGGGGTTTTTGCACAAAAAGCAGTGTAGCTGCTTCCGTTTTGCGCAAAACCCCCGTTTTGCTCAAGATCCTCTCTGGGGGTTTTGCACAAAACGGAAGCGGCTACACTGCCTTTTGCACAAAAACCTTTGCGCAAAAAGAAACAGCAGAAAATATTCTAATGACATCGTGACTTATGCTAATTAGTCTCATTAGCATATTTTCTGCCGCAAAAACTTGCAGTGTAGACAAAGCCTGAATGTAGAATAGGAGAAGAATGACTTGTAAAATACAAACCACAGAAAGCGATAGTCTATTCTGTTTATGGCCAGATGGGAATTCACAAGAACCGGTGTGTTTCGTTTTCTACGAGCAGAGTGGCATTGTTGGCATAGACACAATTAAAATATGTGGTGCTATGCTTGCAGTGTGAAAAGGTGCTAATGGTAGAGTTCTGGAATGTTTTCCTTTGGGTATTTTGACCCATTTATCCATGGGCTTAGGACACTGAACCCCATAGAACTGTTTGGGGGAAGTATCTTAAAACTTTGAGCCATGCTGACTACTACAGGCAGAGCGCTTCAATTTTCCAACCTGTGCAGATGACCCAGCACTTTTTTAATTTTTTTTCTAAAACTAGCTGATGTTGCACAACTTCTAAAACAGCTTTCTTTTTTCCTTGAGCTGACATAATGTAAAATAGTCTCTTTCATGTCAGCCAGGATTGAATTGGAACAGTTGTTCTGGAGGCTGTGACAGGCAGTAGAGTCACAATGGTCAATTATAGATCTAAAGCAGGCATCTACATTCACATGTAGACACTAAATAATAAGGGTCTTTGTCTTGGTGATAGCAAGCATCCACAGCTCTCACTGGTATATAAGTGATGTCTATGGGAATGGTGGGTGTACACGATGGCTGTGTCTACATTGGCCTCTATTCCGTAATAGGGATGCAAATGTAGCACTTTGGAATAGGAAAATATTGAAAGTAGGAATAAGAGATCCTCCGGAAAAGAGCTTATTTTCCGGAGGATCGCGTCCAGACTGGCGCTTTTCTCCGGCTTATCTACAAGCCGGAAAAAAGCGGCAGCCATGATAATGCAAATGCCGCGGGGGATATTTAAATCCCCCGCGGATTTGCCTATTCCAAAGTGCTACATTTGCATCCCTATTACGGAATAGAGGCCAATGTAGACACAGCCATCGTGTACACCCACCATTCCCATAGACATCACTTATATACCAGTGAGAGCTGTGGATTGTATCTCTATCTAGTTTCATTAAGAATGGACTATCAAATGAAAGGACACTTTAATGAGGGGTCTCTTGTATCCATGGCTTTCAGTGTGGTTTGATTGTTTTTCTGATGGTTTAAAACTTTTCATTTCATTCATGATGATGGTATAGCCAAATTGGTTCTTCAGTCTGTCATTTTTGAATAGTTTTCACTTGATTATATAGGATTTTAACAAGCTTTCAGTAGTTTAAATATTTTCTGAGATTCGGAAGGACTTGTTTGGAGAATGATTTTTTTTTTCCTCATGTAGTAAAATTCTTAGGGAAAAGTTTACTGATCTGTGCACTCTGTTTTACTTGGTTACTCTGTATGACTGTTTTGTAGCTGAAATATCAACGAATTCTTGAGCGCTTAGAGAAGGAAAACAAAGAACTAAGAAAGCTGGTGTTGCAGAAGGATGACAAGGGCATTCATCAAAGGAAGCTAAAGGTACTGTTAACAGTCTCTCACAAGTGTCAAAACAGAATTAGGCCAGTGTGACGGTGCATTGGGGTTTTCCCGTCTCCTGCCCCGCCGTAGTGGCACGGACAGACTCCACCAGCCAGTAGAACAGAGGGTGTTTATTGCTTCTCCAGAATACAGCTCAGATGTAATCTGGTTCCAGGGCAGGCCTAGGATGCCTCAGCCCCCCTTGAGATGGGGGAGGCTGAGCCCCTAAATTCCAGCCCCTTTCCTTAGGCTGTCTCCTCCATGCTCCCAGACAGAAACTAACTTCCTCATTTCCAGCCCTGCCCCCCAGTCAGGGTTCCACTCCCCCTTCTTCACACTGTTCCACTCCCTGGGGAAGAGCTCGTCAGACAGGTTCAAAGCCCCCTTTGCATAATAACTCATCCCCTGCCCTGCTGGGCCGTGCTGCAGCCAGTGGGGGTCACTCACAATCCACTGCCCAGCATAGCAACCAGCAAGGTACCCCCCACTACGTCACAGCCATTCGCTCTACAGTGCTACTCTAAACTGCTTAACTTCATTAATTCTTACGTAGCGGTTGGGGTTTTTTTTAGCCTTAAAAATTCATCTTAGCATTTTTAGCTGTTGATGACTGGCTATGCAATTGGATGAACCGCATTTCTAACTGCTTTCACTGGATGTACTTACATGTGTCAGTAACTTCATACCAAGAACACTGCTGAAGTTACTACGTCTATCTTGAAGATTGCAGAAGTAAAAAAGTTGGATTTGTGGTTTGTGCATCATAATATAACTAAAATCTCCATTTTTATTTAATTATAAAAATATTATTCTAGATGTTTGTATGCTATCTCTAGGCCTTTCATGGTTTGAAAAGGGACTTTGAAATTTGGCAGAGGGGCAGTTCTGAGGACGAGGAAGTGTCTTCTGATACCCCCATATAAATTCATGCAGATTTTAATGAGTAAAGACGTGTTGAAAAAGACCCACCATTTTCCAAATGTTTTGCCTAGGACAGCTCATTCTTCACTAGCTGTAAAAAATTCTGAGTGTTCTATCGGCACCGTGCATCCATCAGCGCTCTCCACTGTTCCTTGTGTAGAGCCCTTCCAGATGAGGCACAGACAAAATTAATCTTCTTCTTGGGAACCAGGATCTAATGAGTTCATTGTACTGACAGGTTATTAGTTCTGTTTCCTTCTCAACTCTTCTTATTGAGCAAACCCTCTATCTGAACTGAAAACTGAACCTAGATCTCTTACAGTGAGAATCCCTCAGCCACTTTCAGAATCTGCCATGCCTAAGGACTCGGCTATGTGGTTTATAAAATGGGGCATCACGTATATATGTACCCATCGTTATAGCAAGCTAGAAATGTTCTTGTGGAGGGTGACAGACTACTAATGCTGCCAGTTATTGTCGTTAATACTTTAGCTAAAACAGAAGAGATGTGGGCTGTAGTGATGAAAGTTTAAGGCTCAAACCTTGTTAAGGGATAAGCATGCAATAATTTTCTCTTGTAGGTCCTAAAGATGAAAACTCTTAGCACTTGGTCTTAACTCTTGAAACCAGTTGAGTTTTTTTCCCTTGTATTTCAATTATTTTTAGAAATCTTTGATTGATATGTACTCTGAGGTTCTAGACACTCTGTCTGACTATGATGCCAGCTATAATACCCAAGATCATCTACCTCGGGTAAGTCAGTGAAGTCTGAAAGGGCTTCCTAACTTTGTGCAGAAAATTGTACTTTGTGGAACAAGTACTGTAGTATAAAGTGCATGAATAAGTTATATGCATTGGTTTGCAGACCCCAAATGAAGAGTTACAGCCAATTTTAATATTACATTCTAGAAATGTAATTTACGCATTTAATCTAAAGACCGTCATATATCCTAGAATAATGAAAAGTAGAGAGAGTCCATAAGCCTGATAATGCAGGACTTTTCTCTCTTGTGTACTTCTGGATGTTTGGTCCATTTCACTATTAAATGATTGGTTAAACCAGCAGCCTTGAATATGAACCATTTCTTTGAATGCCCAGGGATGCTATCATTTTGGATTTGAATGTCTGCATCCAATTTGCAGTTGGATACAAATTCAGATCCAGATCGAAAAAGGCTTATTTTTCAGTTCAGATGTGACCAAAATCTTGTGAGAATACACCATGTGGCTTCATCATCATTGAATCAAAGCCTAATTTGGCTTTGAACCATAGACAAGGCCTGATCCGGATCCAGATGCTGTTGCTTTTCCTTAACTGGAAAAATAAATGAATAAATGGATGTGAATCTATTAAGGAATGCATTGCTTGTGGCACTACTTCTGTTGTCAAAACTTAACAAATGTATCCAGCTCTACTATGGGTTTTCAGATGGTTGCTACAGTGTATTATGTAACTAAACTGTTCTACTGAAGAAACTAACTTAAGTATGAGAAGCCAGTGACTACTGATACCTTCATTGAAGGTTGTCGTGGTTGGAGATCAGAGTGCAGGAAAAACCAGTGTGCTAGAGATGATTGCTCAAGCCCGGATATTCCCGCGAGGCTCGGGGGAAATGATGACACGCTCCCCTGTTAAGGTAAGAAACAGTATCCTAACCGTGTCTTGCTATGTCTGTCTGTCCATCTGTCAGTCCATGTGTTCAAGAACTCCTCCTGAATGTCTCAGAGGAGGAGCCGGGTTAGTCTGTAACTTGAAAAAAACAAGTAGTTCTGTAGTACCTTAGGGTACATCTAGACTACAGGCTTTTGTACACAGAGGAAAAGAGCATCTAGACTACACCCAGTTCTGTCGACAATGCAAGCTGCTTGGTCGACATGAGAGTGTAGATGCAAAGGACAGTGTAGATGCAATAACACCTTCTGGTGACAGAACTTTGTTGACAAAAGGCGTTGTTCCTCGTAGAATGAGGTTTACCGCCGTTGACAAAACTGCCAAGTTCTGTCGACGTTATGTCGACAGAACTCGGCAGTAGTGTAGACTCAGGTATAGTTTTGTCGACAACCCTGTAGTCTAGACACACCCTCAGGGGTGGCCCATGAGCCTAGGCAAACTAGGCAGTTGCCTAGGGTGCCGCTGGCCCGGGCGCCCGATGATGATGTCACGGCCATTGATGGCCGTGCAGGCGGGGACGCCGATCACGCCTTCTGCCTGGGGTGCCAGTTGCCGCAGCCGGCCTCGGACCTCTCCTGTGTGTTGCGAGCATCAGTGAGGTTGTTAGGCAGGTAGGTCTTATGACTTAAAGCAAGGCCAGGCTTGGGTTGTGCTGGGAAAATAGGATGTGTGGGGAAAGTGATTGATTGTTTCATGTCATAGGGAAAAGGAGGGTGTAATAGCAGGGACAGTTATACTCATGCATGACCATGAGGGTGGAGGGAGGGCAGCAAGTAGCCCAGCAGCATAGTGCCTGCCACCTCAGCCTGCCCCAGGGAGCAGCTGCCATGTGGCCCCCATTGCGCCTTGTGCCAGATCCCGGGAGAAGTCGGCAACTGCTCCAACCCTTCCCCTGAGCCCCCACCCCCCCACCCCCCCCGCCCCGCCT